GCATGCCCTGTAGGTTCCCCGGCTTTGTGGCCGGCTTACGACTTGGGGGGTTGGTTCACTCGGGCTTAAGGTTTGGCATCAAAGCCCTCAACCCTAAACCCCTACTTACTTGTCGGGTATCATGGGGAACTAAAGGTTAACCTTCTTGGTTATATAGGGATTATGTAGGGGCTATACTACCCGAAAAAGGTTGAAAGTTACCTACTCGACTACTAGGCCTAAACTAGACTTTAGGGTGCAGGGCTTCGGGCTTATATGGTTGGAGCATGCGGCTTAGACGGCATTCGTCGTCTATTTAAGGCGTAGGGCCCAGGGTTTTAGGGTAAAGGTGGTGCTGCATTGACAGCGGGTTGTTGTCCGCCTGCCCAAGTGTTTGAGAGTTTTTCTGAAGGATCAGAGGGCTTTGAAAATTCTGTCTGGGGGGTGTGGGGGAACGAAGCAGCTTTCAGTAGGATGGGCTCACTGAGTTAGTATGCGCCAGTTTTGACAAAGGTTAAAGTTTGCAGAGGGCTCGGTGAGTGTGGCTAGGCGTGGAGTGCCGAACGCCTAGCGAAACCTTATGTTCGCCATGCCCCCGCAATCCGAGGACAACCAAGCCTTGAAATACCCACAGACTTCAAAACCCCTGAACTGAGGAAAAAACCTTACATAACTCATACGGTTGATGATATGAATCCTGCATCACCCATAATAAGAAATATACCATAATTTCCATAGCTTAGGGTCCTTAAGGTAATGCAGGATTTATATTATCAACCGTAGGATCCCTAATATGATGTGAAGAAGATTTCTTCGTTAAGGGATATTGAGGTCTCTGGGTAGTTGCTTGCACTGGAAGCCTCGCAGGATTTAGGGTTTTGGGGTTCAACCACACACCCTCGAATCTCTACCCCAGCCATGACGACAAGGGCCCTGAAATCCGTGCTACGGTGGATGATATAAATCCTGCATTACCTTAAGGACTCAAGGACCCTAAAATATGGGAATATTCCTTATTGTGGGTAATGCAGGATTTATATCATCAACCGTAAAGCCCCGTAGTGCCAGCAGCGGCACGAAGTGCATAGCCAGACCTCGCCATGGGTGTCACTTAGAAGGAGCCCCCACCCTGTAATAGTGGTATACAGGGAACTCCAGAAAGTTGGAATATGGTTTCTTGGTAGGATACCCTATAATTTACCATAGAAGGGTTAGGATAATCATATACCAACTCTCTGGCTTTTACCTTATATAATAGGAACATAATGGAGCCCTGATAAAATACTTATAGTCACTATTACAGGGTGGGGGCCCCTTCTAAGAGTATCATCCAGTGAAGTGTCACCTAGCTTAACCTTTGATATTTTTTGAAAGCGTTCCTGCAACTTCCACGTTTCTCTTTTGTTGCCTTCCATGCTTTTCTGGCTTCTTCAACAAGAGCCGACACCTTAACCCCACGTAACCTACCTTTTGAAGGACTTATATAAAGAAGTCATATGAGGGAACCCGAAAAAGGTAGGTTCCTGAGGGTCCAGGCAGGCTCTAGCAAGTTAAGGTGGTGAGGTGTCCGGCAGTTACGGGAAGTGTCGATGCAGAGCCCTTGAGACCCTCCAATATACGGAAGGGCAGGTGACGGATCGGCCTTAGCAACCACAGCAGCGTTTTTGTTTGGCGGGGGAATCCGATATATATATATATATATATATATATATAAGGGCTCGAATCGCTCCCACAAGCGGGAGAACATTGTAGCCCCAGACAGCATAGTCTGTCGTCGACATCCTTTGCGCCATCGGTATCCACCCGGGATCCCCTTCGTGGCACCGGCGTCGCAGACAGCGTCGCTCTACAGCGCGACACCGTCTTCGGACGGGACTGCGGCTGTCCAAAGCCCAACAAGGACGCTTGGAGCGGCACCACACGGCGCCGCATATGGGAAAGCAAGGATGGCGTGGACAGCCGTCCGAGTGGGATTCCAAGCATTCTTCCTACAGCTTGTGGCGTGGGGCGTACTCACCGAAGATGCAGCCTCCCTGGAAGGATCATGGAACAGGCAAAAACAAGGACAAGACCAGTGCGATCCCGGGCTATACCACGCGGAAGACAGGAGCGGAAGAGGACAAAGTGGCACTTGCAGCGGCGCCTGCAGGTACGACACCATCGGGTATGAGTACCAGACCGATACAGAACGCCTTGAACGCGGTACGCAAGACGGAGGTCAAAGTGAGCAAGCTCAACAAAGACAGAGCAATGAGTGTAAGGCAGTGGACCCAATGGGAAGAGGACATGAAGAAAGCGTGGCTACGAGAAAAGGCCAAACATGCGAAAGACCTGGAGAAACTGGACCAGGAGATTGCGGAGGCCATGGCACAGCAGGAGCTCGCAAGGGACCGGTTCTGTACTGTGGTGGCCAACGAAGGCCGGGTCACGGAAGAAGCCTCGACTGCAGACGAAGAGTGGAGCCACCTTACGTCGGAGTGGGATCGCGAGGCTACGCCAGATTGGGATGCCATGGTACAAAAGGCCAAGGACTATCAGGATGCCAAGCTACACAGCACACCCCAACGACGGACGCAGCAACCGAACCCTGCCCCGACTTTGGGTGTTACGGCACCGACAGCCCCACCGCCTACGACGTCCAATGCAGGGCACCTGGTCGCTGGAGCTCCACCTGGTTTGCCCACTGGTGGAGACCCTGGATCTGCCTATGCGGCAGCGTCCATGGCAGCCTTGAACCCGGTCCAGGTGGCCCCATACCTACAGCTTTTCGCGGCAGGATTTCCACCTTCGGCAGCGGCTACGATGACGACCCCGACAGGACCCACATCACCGCCTCCGGGACACACGGTGGATCAGGCAAGGCCGAAGACCCCAAAAGTGGATGGGGTGAATCGACAGGACATCAAGTCGGCTTCCAAGCAGAGGCCCCAACTGGAGATCCCGAGCGGTCCCTCCCTTGCCGACAAGCTCTCCGACCGCAGGGCCCAGTACTCGGCGTTGCACCCCTTCGGCCTGCAGGAGACAATGGTCAAGGGGAAGGGAGACACGAGCTCGGGCCAACTTGGTCAGATGCCGGGCTCCTTGGATGTGATGGAGGTAGAACAAGAGACGCACGGCCCAGAGCAATCGGCCCCTCCGGATCATCTGCCAGCGAGTCCTGGCATACATCGCATGGAATAGCACTTACGTGCTGGAGGTGGCCTGGTTTCCTGTGTGTCATTTGTGTGGGTCGATACGCCCTGGACAGCCCGGAGTGCTCCAGGACGGGTGAGTTGCTGGGGTTGCATCCTCTCTCGTCCTGGGCACAACAGTCGCTGGTCGGGTGCATTGAGGGCCACCACGCCGGATACACAGCAGACAGGCTGCCAGCCCCTGAGTGTGGACAGACACAGGCAATGCACAGTCTGTACAGTATGCTTCCTCTCTTTCTGATGGCTACTTTGCGGACTGTGGCCCTCGTTCGTCCATCCCTCTGTCTGGGCACGACGTGCTTCTGGCTCCTTCCAGCTCTTCTCTGTCGCTTGCTCCGTCTTCCTCGGCTGCCTGGGATCCTCCTTTGGAGAATACCAGAGTATGCCCCCGCCACGAACCGCCACGCCGGCAGTCTCCTCTCCCATGGGCAGCACAAGAGGTCAACAGGCAATACAGGTCTGATTCCGTATGCAGGGGCCTAAGTAGTACATCGGTGGCGCTGGGGTGCTCTCCTGCATTTTGGACAGCTGGCCATGAGTGCCTGTACCACGATGGCTGGGCGGTTGCTGGTTTTGTGTATGCAGCGGCCGTCCTGACAGCGCTTGTGAGCGTTGCTGTTGCTTTGCTTGCTTGGGGTATTGGGTTCCAATATCCTGTTGCCTGGTGCCTGACCCCTTCGTTGATGCGGTACCCCATACTGAGGCCGAGGTTGGCCCTGACCAGACGTGCATGTGGTGTACTGGTACATATTCTGACGTCGCTCTCTCCTCGAGCAGCCAGACAACCACCCCTGCTTCCCTCGTCAGTGTCCACCAGAAAATTCCTCATCGTGTTGCTGCTGATGCAACAGTGCCGCCGCCTGTGTGTGAATACAAACTCAATCAGGAGCCAGTGTCGCACACGCTTGCGCAAAGGGAAGCCCTCGAAAATCTGCGTGAATACTACCAGAACACAGGCCGGCCGTGGCCTACGGTCCCGGCGGAGGATGTACTGCAGAACACCTGGGTTGCCCTTGCTGAAGAAGTTGATCAGGCCATAGGTACCCCCTTCGTCGCTGGACTGCTGGCAATCGGATACGATACTGAACTCGTTTCGGTACAACTCCAGGCTCCGGCGAGTGTTGCAGAGCTAGCCGAACAACTAATGGAGCATCGTGATCCGGTACATGCTAGGCTGTTTCCGCTCATCTTTGCAGTGCACCCACAACCCACGGATGCATATGGGCTCTTCTGTGTCCTACCCGGATGGGCAGCCAATGAAAATTTTGCCTGCTTTGACCTCACTGATATTGATGGCCGCTTGTTCATGGAATCTGTTCCAGTGGTTGCATCCAAGGCCGTGCTCTTACGAATTGCGGTCGCACCAGCCAACATGATGTCGATATCTATGTGGGAGATAGTGAAAGGCCACTGAACTCAGATGAGGAGATAGACATCCTTCCGGGAGTATGCCTGTCCTTCATACCACAAGGGGATCTGCCCGGACCATACTTCCACCTCGAGGACACCCTCGGCTCTGCACATACCTGGGATCCTGCACCTGACTTCCCGAGGGGTCCTGACCTCCCTTGGTTATGTGTAGTACATGATGGCGGGCACCAGTGCATTTCCTTTCCCTCCGCAGAGGAGCTTGCTGACCGTAGTCTGATAGCTGCGGCCTTACGACTTGATTCGGCAACTCTCTTGCTGCAACCTGCCCACCCGCAGTATCGGGATGTTTCGCTCCAAGGCCGACACTGCCAGGGTGTCTACATTGTTTCGGCGCCAGAAGACCCTTACACAAGCACTCATACAAGCGATCTCCTCCTTGCGGTTGTCGACTGTAGGGCGATGCTGCAGGGTTGGTTTGCGGTCCTTCATCCTGACCGGACCGTTCCCTGCGTAGAAGTAGAGGAGACTTTGTCGACCTTTGCCCCACCGGGCTGGTGCCTACATATCGAATGTCTTCCGAGGGAGGGCCAGAACTTCGTGCTTCAACAGGGTCAGGCCGGCTACGCTTCTTTCGTTCCCATGCCAGAGGTACATACTGAGGCCGAGATTGTCTCCCCTGCTAGGGAACAGGCAGAGAGTGACATCGGGACGGATGATGCCGTGGTCGTCCTTCCCGAGGGAGCAGCCGATGTTGCTGACCCCGACCCAGCTACACCCCCTAGTCGAACTAGGAGTCGTTCACCACGCCGTCCCGACCCTCCGCCTCATGCGAGGACCCCTGTGACCATACCGACCGCACCCGAGGTCAGCAATCTGCCCACGGAAGATCCCGGACCAAATCAGGTGCAGGTGTCTGCCATGTTGCTCACTATGGAATATATGCCCGAGGTGTTGCAAGTACGCTTGACTCCCGGCTGTTCCGTCCCAGATGCCCTGGCTACCATCTCTGCTGCAAGAGGCAGGATTTCCTCCCTGCGGTTTCCACGACTTCTCGAAGCTCGACCCCAGCCCACGATGGACTACATTGTCTGTGTTGCAACCCCTCTCTGGGCCCGGGATGTTTTCGTTGTCGTTGACACACTGCGCCTTAATGGTACACTCTGCTGTACTACAGTGCGCCCGGTTGCCGACCGAGCAGCGTTGCTGTCCATCGCAGGCTTGCCCTCCAGTCTGGATGTCGAGGTCTACGTCCCGGACCGGCCTACCCCGCTTTCAGGCAATCAGGTCGCGGTTCTGTCTACAGGCGATTGTATCAGCATCGTGCCAGCTGCGACCCCGGTATTTACCGTTGCGTGTCTCGCAGATCGGATCCAAGACAGGCAGGGATGGTGCCTACTGACTGCTCCGCCGACACTAGAAGGTTACTGGGTTCTCTTGCTCACTGACGAAGGACAACAACGTCTGTGCCTTCCGCCACAGAGGCGGCGTTTTATGCGTGGGGACATTGTGCGACTGCTCGAGCTACAAGACACTGAGCACTTCATGCAGCCTGTCCGGCTCCCCCCTGATGATGCCTATGACTTCGGCATAGCGGCACAAGAAGTTGTGATTGTTGACACGTCCCCCCGACCCGAGCCACCTGAGGAACCTGCTGGTACACAACACCGGAGCCTTGTCAGGTACTGTCTTGACCTTCGCCCCGTTACCTGCGGGCTCACGTGGCATAGAGCTTGGGGGGGTCTTGTATCCAGTCGCGCCATTTCGCAGCGTGCTTCGGAATACTGTCCGAGTGGGCACTACACTGTCGTAATCGGCGGAACGCCTCTAGCGTGCCGTGACGGTTTGGATCTCCGTGTTGATCCCGGTGAGGTCATTGCTGTTGAGTTTGTTCGCGGTCCGGAGCCCGAGAGCAGTGGCTCCATGCATCCGGCTGACAGCTCTTCTTCCGACTCTTCCTCGGATACGGAGACAGAAGACGACGACCCAGACAGCCCAAGATCGCGTCTGCCATCACCGGCCCAGGAACAGGGATCCGCTGACGTCCCTGTACATACGGATAAACGTGCGCGCACACATTGCTACGGTTCAGGTACTGCTGCAAGCCCTACCACCTGTTGCCTGATAGAGTCACACTTTCCTGTGCATGCCTGGACCAATCAGCGAGGTCGAAATTGGAGCCTTCTTCTTGTCTGCTTTGTGTGCTGTATCCAGGCGGCCGGTGGCACTGGGCTTCCGCAAGATGTGCAGATATGCGACTTGATAGGCCTCCCCGGACACTCCGGACCTGAGCACCGGACAAACCCCAGCAGACCTGCTCCGACCCCATGTAGGAGTGGCCGTAGAGTCCCCGGACCTCCACTGCCACACCATCCAGTTCTAGAAGACAGCCTTGTGCGAGGTCCCTCATGGGACCACATGCTGGACTCAATTCCTGGGCCTACTTTGCTTGCTCAGAGCCTGCAACTTCCACAAAATCGGGCCATGTTCCTTGCAGCCACCCTGCTGGAGACTCTGTTTGACCATTCCGTGTCTGCTCCACCAGCAGTCGACAAGCCACAACGGCCGACCAGCCCACGGGGAACCGGTGCTGTACCCACGGCTGAGGCTGTGACTGGTCCTGAGGTCCTCAGTCTGCAACACTGTCTGCCGGCCGCACTGTGTTACGACGTCTCCCAGGTCAATTTTCGAGTTGGCTGCACCCTTGATGATGCCCTTCCGGCCTTTTGCCCGGGAACCTGGCAGCTTCCGCGTGAAATCCCAGACACAATCTCCCTTCACCCCAAGGCTGAGATTTTTCGACACCTCAGTAGTTTGCCGCTTCCTGCTCCCGGTGGGGTACAGCATACACCCTGGCAGGCACTTGAGGTTTTTACGGATGGCTCTTTCAAGGGAGCCGTCAGCAGCTGGGCATTCCTCGTTCTGGGATGGTTCCATGGACATGTTCATGTTCTGGGTTGGCATTCTGGTGTTGTGGTCACCGACCCGGCAGCTGATCATCATATCGGTGCAACCACAAACGATGCCCTGCGTGGTGAAGCTTCCGCCCTTTTCTGGGCACTGGCATGGGTCGCACAGAGTCCTCGCGGCATGCCTGTTTTGATACGGTCTGACTGTCTGGTGGCACTGCAGCAGGCCAACGGGAATTTTGGCTTTCAGCTTGACGACATGCTGCTGCGAGGTGTACGTTCGCTCCTTCAAGCTCTCCAAGCATCCGATGTCCACGTGCCGGCCATCCAGCATGTACGGTCACATACCGGAAACCCGGCCAATGAATGTGTCGACTCCATTGCGAAATGGATGTGTCACCCTGGTGACAGAGAACTTCCGCCCCCGCCTGTCCGATTTGCAGCTGCCCTACGTTCAGGCCAACTAGAGTGGTGGTGGATTGTCATTGATTCAGCACGACAGCCCTCTCTTTGGCCACAACACCATGGAGGGGACTTCATAGATCAGGATCGATTTTCTGACGTCGATTTGCCCTCCAGTGCTGAAAGCCGCCGTTGGCTTGGCTTACCACCAGAGGTGTCCCTACCTCAGACCACCGGCAATTCGGCGTTTCGACTCCGTCTGATGTCTGTCAACGTTCAAACCCTCGCCCAGTCGGAGGATTCGGCAGAGCCAGGTGAATCGGAGGCGTTTGCGGGCCGCGCGGCCTATCTGAGGGAGCAGTGTGCACACCACCAAGTTCATGTGATAGCCCTCCAGGAGACGCGCACCAAACATTCGGAGACTGTGTGCTCCAGCACGCACGTTAGGCTATGTTCTGGCCGCGACGAGCGTGGCCACCACGGTGTGGAGCTGTGGGTCGCGAAACAGCTCCCCATCTCGGGCCATGGCCCCGCAGCAGTGAGAGTCCAGTTGTCGGATTTGCTTGTGCTTTTTGCAGACCCGCGCACCTTGATTGTCAGACTTAATCGCCGGGGCCTCCAGATACTGTTCGTAGCCATCCATGCGCCCACAGCGTCCTCTCCAGAGCGTGGATCGTGGTGGTCCGATCTCGCACATAGGGTTCGTCGCCTTTGTGGCAGCGGATGGGTAGTCCTCATGGGTGACTACAACGCACACTTTGGGGACTCGATCCCCCACCGCATTGGGGATCTAGTGTGGCAGAGCTCGGGTTCTGTTCCCAGTGGTCTCGCCACCATCCTTGCCAGACAAGACCTTTGGGTTCCCAGCACTTTTCACAGCTGCCATTCTGGACCCAGCGAGACGTGGTTCACGCCTAATGGCCTACATGGGAGTCGCATCGATTTTATCGCCGTGCCGGTTGCCTGGTCTGCTGGGCCGGGATCCTCGCAAGTCCACCATGACCTTGACTGGGGGCAATCGCATGTTGATCATTATGCTGTTCGCCTGGACGTTAGTTTCCTTGCTAAGTTTCTGCAACCTGGCCTGGATAAGGGACTTTCCATTGACAGGGACAGCATTTCTTCCCCGGAAGGTCAGGCCATCCTGGACTCCATCTGGCAGACTGCACCGATGCCGCCATGGAGTACCAATGTTCACCGGCATTGGGACGCTGTGGAACAGCATGTTCAACAGGCGCTCCTCCGAGCGTTCCCGACCCGCCGGGGATCTTGCCGCTCGTCGCATTTCAGCACTGACACCTGGCTAGTACGCCAGCGCAGGGTCTGGCTGAGGCGCCGCCTACTGCGTCTCAAGTGCCGGACCGCCACTGTTGAACTACGGGCTGCACTTTCTTGTTGGTTGCGTGGGGTCCGCTGGAAGATCGCCATTTTTTGTGCTGCCATTCGGAGCTCAGCTGCAAGCGTTGAGATCTCTGAAGTGATCCGGGACCTTCGGACGACCAAAGGGGAGCTTCGCACAGCAGTGCGAAGAGACCGCCTGAACCGCATTCAGCAAGCCGCCCTCGATGCCACCAGCTGTCCGACCTCCGATACGGTTACTGCACTGCGCCCCTTAATCGGACCGCCTAAGCGTCGGTGCGGAACTAGGCGAGGTCTTCCGATGGTGTTGAACTCACTTGGAGAGCCTGCGCAATCACAGGCAGAAGCCGAGTCCATTTGGATTCGCCACTTCTCAGGACTCGAAGATGGACATACGGTTGAGCCGGTGGACCTTGCCCGAGACTGCTTCAGCCGGCAACTGCAGCGTGACCTTGAACTTCTCAGCATCGATAGAAAGGACTTCCCATCGCGATGTGAGCTTGAAATGTCGATCCGGGCGACACAGACGGCTCGGGCAGCGGGAGTCGACAATTTGCCCGGAGAGATTCTGCACTATGCGGCCTCGTCTTCCTCGCGAACCCTGTTCCAGCTTGCTCTCAAAATGGGAATGAGGATCGCTGAACCTCTTCACTTCAAGGGAGGGGCATTGCAGACAGCGTGGAAGGGGAAAATGTCGATGGCCCGTGTGGAGGCGCATAGAGGTATACTGGTGTCTTCATGTGTGAGCAAATGCTTCCACCGGACAGTTCGTAATCGCGCCGTGGGCCCGTTTGAGTCGGTGGCATCACCCATGCAACTCGGCGGGCTCCCGCATCGCCCGGTCACGATGGCGGCACAGGCCATAAGGCTGTTTCAAAGCGCTGCACAGCGCCGCAGACTCAGTTTTTCACTCATTTTTCTCGATTTGAGTGAGGCGTTTTATCGTGTCATTAGGCCATTGCTGACAGGGGCGCGATTCCACGATGAAGATTTCGCCAGAGTAGCGGCGACACTCCAGTTGGCTCCGGATACGCTGGCAGTGTTACATCGTCACCTCCAGGAGCCCTCCTTGCCGGAGGCGGCTGGAGCATCCCTATGGAACTCGATGGCATTGTCGGAAGTGTTGGAGTGTACTTGGTTCCGGTTTCGGCGGGGTGTAGACATAATCCGCACCGACGCTGGAAGCCGACCAGGGGACACATGCGCAGATTTGATCTTTAGTTATCTCTTCGCATGTGTTCTCTCGGACCTCCGACGAGACCTACAAGCTGGAGATGTACTCACTTGCCTCCCATGGTCCGAGGAAATGCAGGGTTGCGTCCACCAGCTCCCAGCACAGAATTCCTCTCAGTCCACCCTTCCACTGCTGGATGCAACTTGGATGGACGATCTGTCGATGATGATCACTACCTCACGGGCCGGAGCACTTCAGGAGACTACCCAACAGGCTACAGGTCTCCTCCTGGACCATTGCCGCAGCCGGGGGTTAGTTCCGAATCTTGCACGTGGGAAGACGGAGGTTCTCATGGTGCCGGTAGGAGCTGGCTCACGGGCTGTTCGGGCCAATGCCTTCCGGGACGCCGATCCCGCCATCACCGTGCCCAGCTCCTACATGGGGTCTGTTAGTGTGCGCCTAGTTGGACAGTACAAACACTTGGGGGGTATCGTCCACCACTCTGGCAGAATACTCAAAGAAGTGCGTCACAGGGTTGCACTGGCACACGATGCCTTCCAAAAACACCGGTTGAAGGTGTTTTCTTCGCCTACGGTGCCAGTTTCGTCCAAGGCCACCCTGTATGATACTCTGGTTCTTTCGGTGCTCCTTCATGGGGCGGGCACGTGGATTCAGGTTGAAGTGCCCGCTATGTCGGCGTTGCAACATGCGCATGTACTGATGGTTGCAAAAATGCTTCGCCCTCGGTTTTCGTTCCAGGAGGCCTTGCGGTTGGGTCCTGATCGTATCCTGGCCGAAGCAGGACTGCCGTCCCTTGAGATCCTGCTGCATATGGCGCGCCTTCGACAGCTCCTTCCCTGCATGCGTCTGGGTATCCGAGAGATTTGGGGCCTGGTTCATTGGGATGGCCTCTGGCTGGCGGACGTGCGTTCCTCCCTCGCATGGCTCCAAGATCTTGTTGGGGACTCCGGTGTCTCCTGGACAGCCTCGTGGCCTTCCTGGCAGGATCTCATGTTGCACCACCCGGGCCGGTGGAAAGGGCCTTTGCGGCGGGCGCAGTCCAAGGGCATTCTGCGTGAAGCCTGGACCGCCTCCAATCAATATGCCCAAGGGCTTCTGTTGAGACAACTCAAACACCTGGGGGGGATGTTGCATGGACCTTCCCTCGACGCAACCGAGCACCGCCATGGTTGTGCCGTGTGCCAGCAAGTGTTCTCCTCGTTCGCCAAATGGTCTGTGCATGCTTTCAAAAGACACCACAGGGTTATGACAGGCCGGGGTGTCTTGTCTGGAAACCAGTGCCAGGCTTGTCTTCGACATTTTGGGTCCAATGTACGGCTGTGTCGGCACCTGAAGTTCACGCCCGACTGCCGTCTACGCCTGCAACATGCTGGGTACAGCTGTGCCCCTGAACCCGGA